AACTCGGGGAAAAATTTAAAATAGCTGTATGTATTGTTTTTGATTTCTTTTTTTTTTTTTTTTTTTTTTTACTTTTACTTTTTTATGCGTGGTCATTATACTTTTAAGTTTTTAACTTGCCAATACAGAACATCTAACATTCAACTTTAGCAGTCAATTAAAACTTTTGCAGGATGTTTATTCACATGTTCAGTATAAACAGCAGAACTCCACCCAGATTTTACTGTGGAAAGTGACTCAAAATCACTCATGTAGAACCCACCTATTCACAGATATATATATTTTTTTTGATCATTTGGAGCTAAATGTGAAATTGAACGATGGGTTCTTTTCATTCTTTGCTAAGACTGTCACAAATCGTTCCGAACAGCCTTGAATTTGATCCTGAGTGGATATCTGGGAAGAAATCGGGACATCTTAATTCTCTCTGCAAAAAAATAAAAAAATGTTGCAAATATATGCTTTAATAGTGCTTAATCTCTTACTTACAGGTCTTAAGGGGATTAGCTTATCTGCGAGAGAAGCATCAGATCATGCACAGAGGTAAAGACACACCCTGCAGTTTAACAGCAGAATTACAACATTTGATTATGAAGTCTGATTAGAGGCTGCCACAATCGGACTGTTTTCACAATAACAAATTTTGCTTTATTTAGAAAACTATCAGCAATTACTAAGCATGCTTTAGTCTCAAACCAGCCTTCATTTACTTATGCTGCAGATTTGGTTCACTTTTAAAATCTTGGCATTCCAGACTGTCGGTATCTTTCAAGGCTGCTTTCGTTTTCTGAGAAGTGAAGTTGTTGCACCACAGCACACTTATCATTGCAAAAGCTAGAGGAAGCTCAGCGAGCGACGACTAAAACAAGAAATAGGAGGCAATGCTTGATGTGCAGTTGTAAGGAGATGGATAATAGATGAAGGCATGAAATGCATAATTATTTAGCTGTGCTATTTGTATACAGAACAGGGTTTTTGCCGATTCTTGGTGTTAAGTTTATTCGTTGAATTTTAGGCATTAAAGACCAATTGTTCTGTGATTTTCTGTATTGGGTTTTAATTACATTTAATAATTTGCTAAACTTGTGCAATGTGCTGTTTCCATTGCTTCTTTCATTCATTTTATTTGCCTTTGTTTTAAGAAATTGCTTCATTCCCAGTTTTGTCTGAACAGTTCAAGTTATGCTGCCCTTTGACATAACTACGAACATAAATGGTCAAAGTCAAAGCGTTTTTGTGACTATCTACTGCTTTCTATTTTTCCTCCTTCATGGGAAAGTATATTTACTACACACTGTTTCAAGGGGAATTGGTGTGTAGTTGCTGGAATTCACTTGAGTCTCGTGCTGGAGCCAACACACTCCAAGTTCAGTTAACAAAATTACTTTTACTTGGATTCCTTGCAAAGTAAGTTTATTTAATTTTAAAATGCAATTGTGCTAAAAAGATTAATCTACTGAAAATTGCAGTAACCCTGCAAGAAGTATTTTTATAGCTGTTTAATTATACGAAGAGTATAAAGTATAATATAATCAAATGTCCAGTCTAGACTTGATGCCTGATAACTAGATAATGTCAAAAAACCAACACAAAACTTTAAGAGCTTCTGATACAAACTCCTGTGAAGATTACTAAGAAGTACGCTTGGGCAATTATTGTGTCCTTATTTATTGGGATAAGAATTTTGATTTATTTTTAAATCGGACGCGACAATGCTCAAAAAATCACCGTCTTCTAAACACAACTTTCAGGTTGGACGGCTGAAGCTTCTGAACTTTCACTGGTTGTGTAGTAAACATTTGTTGATCATATCGTTAAAGATATGATCTGACGGGTATGGTCTTGTTTTCGTGGAAGAGCCTCAGCATGAGACCTGAGCAGTTGGAACATTGTAACTGTATACATCAGCTTGTCTGGGTCCACTCTTCCTCCAGCTTGTTTAGATTTGTGGGAAACTTGCATTCCTTACATGTTCACTGGTGATACACGGTTCAGCATCTGTGTCGATTCAGCCAACTGCACAGCTTTTAAAAACCTCTTCATATCCATCCGTCGTCTCAAGTTGCCTTCATTAGATGAGATTTAAATTGATAAGGCCTTTTCTTTTTTGCGGATGTTGGATTTTTTTTTCCCCCATTTTTCTTCCAAGAACAACAGATCCTTAAGTCGGGATTCTGACTAAGGTTGAAGCTTACCGAACAATCCTGAGTTTTGTCTCCTATAAATAAATATATATATATATATATATATATATTTTTTTTTTTTTTTTACATGCATAAAATGGAGGACTGTATCATTTGCATGTATTGGTAATAATTATCTACAAAGCAAATCCCACTGTTTTAACAGCTTGCCGTTTAAACGCTCAAGTTTAACTAGAAAAACACAAAATCTTACCAAGTATTTTTGGTCTGGTTTCTAGTGCAAATATCTTAATACACTTGCAGCAAGACAAAACTAACTTATAGGTAACTCTTCAGCAAGACACAGGATCTTGTTTTAAGTCTATAATTCTGTAATATTGATCAAACAGTACTAGTTATAAGCGAAATAATCTGCCAGAGAAACAAGACATTTTCCCCGTATAAGTTAAAATGTCTTGTTCCTCCGGCAAATTATTTCACATATAATAAGTACTTTTTCATCAATATTAAGGAATTATTGACTCCTGTGTCATAATGAAAAGTTTTGTCATAGTTTTGTCTTATTTCGAGTGGACCAAGCCATTTTGCACAAGGAACTAGACTAAAAATACTTGGTAAGATTTTGTTTTTGCGGTGGTGACGCCCTTACCCGCTCCAAGCTGTGACTGAGACAACTCAAATGTAGCAAGACTTCACAAAAATTGGAGATTTTTTTTTTTTTTTTTTTTTTTTTTGCTGTCGTTTCTGCTCGTTTTAGGTCTTTACCAAAACCACTTCTTTTTGATCATTTGCTGTGATTCGTGAACATATTTTCTTTTGTCACCCATCCCCCCCTCCCCCCTGTTCCTGTTGTCTGTGTCATTCCCTCGTGACACTCGGCCCTGCTTAAATCTTTTGACAAAAGTTATCACAACTAGCGCTCTCTTAATGATTCAAGACAGATTTTGTTCAAAAATCTGATATCTAGATGATTAACTCTATAATTGCTGGTGACACGGATTCAGATGAGGAAAAGTGCTTACACGCCGCTTAAATGTTTCCGAGACATTTATTACTCGCGCCGCATTATAAAGTCTTATCTGGGAATGTGAGCAGTTTGTGATCGATTTAGATTTATGGTGTAAAACGAGGGCTGCTTCCACATCGCACCAGTGAGAAATCGTGGCTGTCCTGTTATGAGTTTACGGCTGGAGGACTGCAGCGATGTTTTCTCTCCGTCTTCAGGGTCGGTGGTACTCCAGGATGGAGTTGTCTGTGAGCTCAGGCGGTAATTACAGCCTCTCGGATGTGATTAGAGAGCAGACGCGCCCTGTTGACCCTCCCTCCCTGTCTCCCTCCATCGTTCTCCTGCTCTTTCATGCCACCTCTTTCTCAGTCATTGCTCACATGTCCCATGGCCTCTGCTAAAAGGCACCATTATTTTTTGCAGGCTGTATTTCTGTGCAGACTTTTAACTGGGCTTGTGTGACGATTGTTGTGAAAGTTGAGCCGTCAGCCACTCAACTGGCCAACCTGCTAATTTTGTGTGTGTGTGTGTGTGTGTGTGTCAAGAGGATTTTCACTTGTTTTGTTTTTCCTCTCCATCAGAAACCACTGCTTATGCACAATGCCACTGCACTCATGCACAGCTACTCCTTTCCATGAACCTTTCCACTTTTTGCATGAGAAAACCAAAAATACTTTAATGTGTTGTATTTGGCCTCATGTGATGGACCAACACAAAGTAGTGTATAATTGTGAAGTGGAAGGAAATGTGTGTAATTGGTCCTTAAATTTCATCCGCGACCCGAGTCAAAACATCGTAGGCTGCAGATGTTACATGTAGTGACTGAGGATTTTGTCCCATTTCTTTCGTCTGTGTTCCTTACATAACTTGTGGCAAACTTTAAACGCTTCTCATACATTTCATTTGATGATGCCACGCTCACAGATTTATGGAGTGCAAGACTAATAGTGTTCCTGTTAACAATTTCCTTTAACTGAGCTGTTGATCTCCGTAGCGCTTCTAGAGTTACCATAGGCCTTTAGCTACATCCTTGATTTCTGATCTCCTTGCCACATTTGTTCATTTAAGAGTCCAGTCACGGTTTAGTTTATCTGCGATAAATCAATCCGTGGCAATAAATCAATTAATCACGCAATTTAAAACGAGTGATGATTTCACTTTCCACAATTAGTTTTTTCTTATTTGTCTTTCTACCAAAGACTGAGTGACAAAAGGCTCCAGTGTGGTGCATTGGTCTCAACCAGCCACGTTTTTTTTTTTTTTTTTAAAGGGTAATATTGTTTACAGAAACTTTACTTCTGGGTAGCAGAGCAGATGAGTCGATTTTGTTCTTAGAAAACGTGGAAAGCAGAATGTAATTTTCCTTCTATTTGACAAGTATGTTGTACTTTGTGCTTCTCTATCACCCAAAACCTCAGCAAAGTAGGGGGGAGGAGTCGAGGGGTATAAAAACTTTTGCGAGGCACTCGATGTACTTTGGAAAAAGAAGAAAAAAAACTGTCTAAAAGCTTTAAGGTGTTCTATAATATGACAACAAAGCAGTAATCCGTGTTTGCGTAACATTTTTATTAATTTTTTTTTTTTGTTTTGGTGTATTTGTGCACAGCACTCGTCGTAACCCTGAATATGTAACGTGCATTTGTTTGTTTTGTTTGTCTGTCCCTTCTGCCGCAGACGTGAAGCCCTCCAACATCCTGGTCAACTCCCGCGGGGAGATCAAGCTGTGCGACTTTGGTGTGAGCGGCCAGCTCATAGATTCCATGGCCAACTCCTTTGTTGGAACGCGCTCCTACATGTCGGTGAGTCAGCTCTGCACGCCTGCGCCCCCACCCCTTTTTTCCTCTGGCCCTATCCCCACTTTCCCTCTCCATTCCTCTCGCACGGCTCTTGCTCAGCCAGACCCGCCCTCTGCCTTCCCCTCGCTCCCCCCACCCCTTGCCAAGAGGCGAGGGCTGTGCCCAGGAAAGAGCTCAAACGAGTGTTTGCTCTTTCTTGTCCTCCTACCCCCTCAGTCTGAGACGCCTGGGGTCAAGCGTCCCAGTGTACTTGGAGTTTCCGAGCACAAAGTTGTTCCTAAGCAGCATTATGGACGGTACAGGTCGTTGCCCTTTGGCTGTCATTTTCGTCACACACCTGAGCTTGGACACACGTCCAACTCAAACATTGTAAAGCTGTTTTTCCCCTTCCTGCCAAACCCTCTCTCTCTTTGTCTTCTTTTCCAAATCACACCCCACCCGTTCTTGCCTCTCTATCCCCTCAGCCTCTTCCCTTCCCTCCCCTCTCTTCTCCTCCGCTTCCTGCCTCTCTCCAGCCCCTTGCCCAACCCTCTTGCATTCCCCTGGCATCTTGGCTGTACCTGGTCCCTCTGACGTAGTTGTGCGTTTCTCAACAGCCGGAGAGACTGCAGGGCACCCACTACTCGGTTCAGTCTGACGTGTGGAGCATGGGCCTGTCCCTGGTGGAGCTGGCGATCGGCCGCTACCCTATACCGCCACCAGACGCCAGGGAACTGGAAGCCATCTTTGGACGCTCCATCATGGACGGGGCAGAGGGAGAGCCTCGCTCCAACATGGCTAGACCGAGGCCACCGGGCAGGCCTGTGAGCGGTACGAAATCAAACGTTTTTGTTTTTTTTAAACTAAAGTTCTCATTGTGATCTTATACAAATCCCAAGAAGTTATGATCATTATTTTGGTTTCCTCCGCAGGACATGGGATGGACAGTAGACCTGCCATGGCTATCTTTGAGCTTTTGGACTACATTGTGAATGAGGTCTGAAAAATAACTGATCGATATTGTTTCTTTTTTTGTTTGTTTTTTTCAGCTATTCTTCTGATGATGATGTTTTTTTCCACAGCCACCGCCTAAGCTACCACAGGGTGTCTTCAGCAGTGACTTCCAGGACTTTGTGACAAAATGGTGAGTGCCACAGAATGAGGAGTGCTATTTATTTGGACACTTGTATATGGCTGGAAAACTGTCATTTGTTTCTAATTAAATTTTTTCCACTTGGTGACTGAAAATGTTGCATTACGTAGATAGTCTGGCGATGTGGTGTGCCTTGTAAAAGTTGCTGTACCCCTTAAAATTATTCATATTTTGTCACATCACAGCCAGAAACTTCATTTTTGAGGTCTTGCCACAGATTGTCGAGTGGATTTATGTCTGGGATTTGACTTGATTGTTTTAACTCACAAGCACAGTTGACCTAAACCATTCCACATTACACACACAAGTTGGCCCAAGTCGTTCCATTGTGGCTCTGGCTGTATGTCTGGACTATTCCTGTTTGAAAGTGAACAATCTTATCAGTCTAGAGTAATTTACAACTACTAACCTGTTTTTTTTCTTCAGGATGATTGTGTATTTAGCTCCATCCGAGGGTAGACATGTAATATGAATGACTATTGTTCTGCCAGCAGATTTGTCCACCTGCAGATTTCTGCAGTTCTCATAGTTACCATGGTTTCCTGACCTGCTTCTTATCATTTAGTGTCAACTTCACAATTATGTACAACTTTGTTGGTCTGTTTCTTAAAATCGCAATAAAATACCACAACGTTTGTGGTTGTCATGGGAGGAAAATGTGAAAGGGTTCGATGGTTATGGGGAATTTTGGTGCAAAACATGAACATTTATAAATGTCAACTTTCTTTTGTGTCTGCAGCTTGATTAAAAACCCAGCCGAGAGGGCGGACCTGAAGATGTTGATGGTGCGTATGCAGTCTTTGCTGACCTTTGTTGTTTTTGATCTCTGGGTAAGAGTAAATGTTGCAAACCAAAGTTTCTCTTTGTTTTCAGAATCACACATTTATCAAGCGATCAGAAGTGGAGGAAGTGGACTTTGCCGGATGGTTGTGCAAAACCATGAACCTCCACCAGCCCAGTACTCCCACTCGCACCACCGAGTGATCAAGCAGCCTCCACACAAAAGAAAATAAAACCTCGTCTGTCCCTGCTCTGACACATTTCTGGGGTCTCTCTGCATTCATGTACACAATCCACCACACATGCTGGCACTTTTTTGTTGTTGTTTTTTTTTTTTTGTCCATCTTGCTTTTGGGTAAAACATTTGTAGTTTCCCTTTGTTTATTTCATCATCAGCAGCAGAGCCTGTTGAGTCACTATTGTACTGTAAGACCACAGCTTCACCATGGCGGTGTCGAGAGCAGCCGCTGTTGACGTTTTCACACCGCTGCAGAGGATGTAATGCACTGAAGGGCTGCCATAGTGTCATCAGAATTCCCAGTGGCAAACTTCTTTTGTATTGTTGAATATTCTGTATTAATCTTTTCTATGGTGGCTTGTGGGGCTGTATTTTATTAACCTGCTGTAAAAGAAGGAATCATGTCGTACTGAAAGTTTAAAGGAAATGTAACCTGCAATCATCTTGCAGACTTTATATTTGCTAATTGATGGGAAAATGCCTCAATTACAGTTGAACGTTTTTGTTTTTTTCTCCTCACATTTGGTTACTAGCGGTTTCTGGCAGATCCCCCAGTTTAATAATCAAAAAGAGTGCATTGCAAGCAAAACATGCACCCACAGGAGTCATTTTCACTTTTTGGCATGCAAGCAATCTTTTAAAGGATCATTTTGTGAACACTTTCCCAAACCAAAGAGGGTACTCATGACTACTTCTTTTGCTTTAGTGGCTGGTTGACTTTAAATTCTTGAGCAGTAAATCAGTGTAATTAGGTAATCTCATTTCCTTTCAATAATTTGCACTCCAACATTGTGGAGTTTTTTTTTTTTCTCCATTTATTTCTTTTACATCTCTTGTACGTCTCACAAGGAATGAGGTATATTCCTCCAGAAGCTCAGCATTTGCCAGGATGTCTATCTAGACATTGCAAAAATTAGGACAAAGGTGTTTTCATGAGTTGATATAGCATGGTTTATCTTTCTAATGACTGTATGTGTACTTAAGATCATGACAGGAATGAGCTGACGTTTTTAATCAAGCCTCAGTTTCTGCTATGACGGTGCAAGTTTTCAATCGCAATGAATGATCTTTTTTTTTTTTGTTTTCTTTTTTCCTCTTTATTGAATACCTTCTACCCAAAGTGTGTTTGGTTAATTTTCCATTGTACTGCTACATGTGACGCTCCAAGTTTCAATTTGGGACAAAACTTATTTAAAGCCTTGCTTGTGGAATAGACTTGGGTTAAAATGCTACTTAATCACACACTTTTTTTTTTTTTTCTTTTCTTGCAACTTTGGTTTAAAAACGACACAAATACAGCCTTGCAGTGTATCGTGAGACCTGACAAAGGGTACAAGGGGTCTGACTCGAGATTTTTAACCCAGGTCAGTTTTGGTCATTTGGTGGTGTTACCTGCTAGCCCGCTGTCTTGCTAGAGCTCTTGTATTCTCTCTCTGCTTATGGCTGCCCTTTCTACTCCCCCTCCCCCTCCGAAATGTGCATTCTTCAAAAGTAAATGGATGCATATTCACCTGTATGTGTACAAAGCTATCAACAAAAATTACAGGAGTACTATTTTGCAGTCTTAATATACAAATTTTTGATTTTATGTAAATGACAAGAAGAGTCATTTTATTATAATATAAAAATGTGTTGGAAATGGTTATAATGTATAAAAAATTGAAATAAAACTTATTTGTGAATGTAAATGCATATGCTTGTCTTTAGTCAAATAATTGAGAATTATAAAATGTGGTGGCTTCAGGGTCAAGATGGTGTTGTTTTTGTTAATCCGTAATGTAAATATTGCTAATCGGTTAGAATAAAACGTAAAACAAAGTAAGCGTTTGAAAATAAGACACCAGAAATGGAGATGATTTAATAACAAAAGTTGTAAAATACAAATCAGCTGTATTATCTTTTAAGAATATAAAGATAAAACATTAACTTTAAAACAAATTCTGAATTATGATTATTTAAGGCATTAAAATCAAAATAAAAATGGAACAAAATAACCTAAAACATTTGATGAAAAAAAATATGAAAAATGACAATTTGATATTGAAATACATATTTAATGAAGGTTATAGCCTTACTACTAATGTTTTCAAGGTAATTTGAAAAATTATTTTAGCTGCAGTAGAGATAAATGTTGCCATTTGTGTTATAGTTTATTAGATCATATCTATAGTGTGAAATTAGTTGTATAGTGAGTATGATAGCTAAGACTAATAAATGTAAATTAGGGCTCATTATTAATCCCTAATATTAATTATTTGGTCAATTTATTATTGTTGTTTTGGTGTCTTGTCACAGAGGCTTGCCCGAGTTTTTGTAAATCTGTGCTACGGCCCTGACAACAGGAGCGTCAAGGTGACTTTGAGCGTTTGAGTTTTAAAGACTCGACTGAAAAAAAAAAAAAAAATGTAGTATGTCTGGAAAGCCAGTCGGAATGTGAGCGTACTTAACCTTCGACCTTAGCGCGTAACCACAGCGACAGAATGTTCCCAAGAACTAGCTAACTTTGAAAAAAGCTTTTGGTTAATTTGGGAGACATAACAAGCGTGCAGGGTGAACATGGTGCTGGTTTTTGAAACGGTAAGTGTTCCCTTTTCATTTCCCAGTATTTATTTTTATTTATTTATTTGGTATAAACACAACTGCATTTCCACCTTCGATGAGCTTTTATTTATATGACCGTGCCAGACTTAAATTTTGCGTCTGAAAAGCTTGGACTTGCAAAGAGCGCTATAGTTTTCAGCGAAAACTAATTACGAACAAGACTGGCTACGAACACCGTGTCTCTCTGGTTCGGGTGGTTGTATTTAACAATGATAAACTACATAAAGAAGCTACAGAGAAACCTAGAACCTTACCAAGGAACACTTAACAAAACCTGGAAATTACTGATAACACCGCATTTACTCAAGTGGAACCCAATACAGTTAGCATTAATTGTGGCGTTGTTAATAGCTACGAAAATGAGGCGTTATCTTTCACTTGATTTACCTAGTGTGTTCTCTGATTTGGGCAAACAGATGTCTTCCAGACCCAGTGCTGAAATCCTGAGCTGTAAAAATTAGAGTTGTTAGGGAATAAGTGTTCCCTAAGGGTTCACAATCCCAGTCACACAGTGATCAGGCGTAACATTATGACCACTGTGTCAGCAGAACTGCATAACATTCATTATCTTTCCATTACATCATCTTTGCCTTTAGTAAAAGATGAAAATAAGGCAAAATATATATATTTTTATTCCAGAAATGTGGATCTACTGAAAAGTATGTCAAAGTACTACTATACAGTTTAGTCAATACTTGGTCAAGGCTCAATTGTGTCCAGTGGCATGTAAGTGATCAGCCCTGTGGACTTGCTGAGGTATTTTACAGCCCCAGGTCGCATTATTAGTGTCCTTCAGCTTGTCTGCATTATTAGCTCGGGTGTTCCCTCATCCTCATCTTGACAAACCCCAGTTCGGTCACCTGTAGGTGTTCAGGTCAGGACAATTTCCTGGACAACCAAGCACAGTTCCGGTATGATGGTCAGTAAACCAGTTTTGGTACTTTTGGTAGTGTGAGCAGGCTCTAGGTCCAGCTACGACATTTTTTCAGCATCTTCACGAAGGGAGGGAAGGGTGACATGCTCTAAAATATCCTGGTAGACAGCTGGGCTGATTTTGGGACTTGATAAAACAGACCAACACCAACAGGTGGATCCACACATCATCACTGACTGTGGAAACCTCACTGTAGACCCCAAGCAGTTTGGATCCTGTGCCTCTTCTCTTATCCAGTAAACAAGATAAGAGACCTCTTCAGTCAAGTTATTGAAGAGGTGGAAGCTGGTTCTGATAGACAGGTGTCAGCCCAATTGGCCATCTGTGGGATGAGTTGGGCAAACAGGTCCTAATAAATCCTTTAAAAAGTCTTACCTCGTAACCTAAAGGCCTTTAGGATTTGCTGCCACAGCATCGAGATGCCAGATTTCACAGCCCACCTCCATTTCTCAACGGGTCGGTGCTGTTTTGGCAGCAAGAGGGGAATCAAAATATCCACCAGGGGGGCCATAATGTTACACTTAATCATTGTATTGTTTTACTTAACTTTATTAACTTCTTTGTTGTGAGTTCTTATGGCAATCTGCTTTCTCAGAAATAACAAATGGCGTCATTCACACAGTAATGAGAAAGGCAGATCAGACGTGCGGTGTCTGGGAGTGAAGTGGACCACCCTATGCTGGTCTGAACGCAAAATTGCCGTAAAACTGTCTGCTCCCGCTCCTCCTGCTTCCCCTCCCTTTCCTCTCACTCACACATGCTCAATCATTGCAGGGACAGTGCTCTACAGTGCCCTCTAGACAGGCAACATGTCACTGCAGCTGTGCAAAGGCACCAAATGTAAGAAATGTTGACACCATAAAGCCGCTGGAGTTCCTAGAGTGCAGCATCATATAGTCTGCAAACTACAAACTACCTTGCTAAGTCATTTTATAGCACATGTAGATGTTTGTTTTGATGATTTGTAATGTGCAGAAGTTGGGATTGATGTCGGTTGTACACAAGACAACATTGAAATTACTGAGGGGTTTAGAATGTCCGACAAAAACAAAAATATAGAAACTATGTTTTTAAGTGACGCTGCATCAACATTTGCGTGACATAAATATATCGCTGCCTTTTCAAACACACACAGGACAAACATTTTACATCCGTCATATATATATATATATATGTCCTCGAATCAGAAAATACTCTTGCACAGTTCCTTTTTGCTGCTTGTGAGTGTTGGTTTCTTTTGTTGCTGCTGTTTATAAATCCATGACCTGCCGCATTGAATGAGTTTTGCTCATTAATGTTGGAAAGTGTTTGCTTTATTAGGTTTTTACTTGTGCTGTCCCGACTTGTCAGTGTAATTGATGACATCGACTTTGAGGATCTGTGGACATCGATATGAAGTGGACACATCTTTTTAATGAGTTCATCTTTTAGTATTTAGCTTTGTTTCTCCTGTGTGTAACGAAAGCATGAAAGTATGTCTAGTTTAGTGATGACAATCAGAGGTTTGAATGTGCTGTCGGATTTCATTGGCAACATTTAGCATTGGCATCTAGGGATGATGATGAGGCAGGTGAGGAGACAACGCAGATGAGCCACTGTGATTATTTAACTAAACACTAAATGATCCATATGACGTTAGATTCTTAAATAAGTCTTTATCGAAAAAATTTTACACAAGAATCAGTCCAAACAAACAGTATTATCAACATTAACCCTGTGTTTGTGTTAATGTGCAGACATTATGCACATTAACATAATGTCTGTTTTAGTCACAGGTAACTGAATAGATGACGTGGATTTTTAAACGACTAAAATTTAAGCCAGACAAGCTCAGACATGATAAATACAATTAATAAGTGCAGTAATTTATGAGTGAGATGAAACTATTATAGTTTCTATTAGAATTAAAGAATAAGGTGTATTAAAATGTGAAAAAAAAATCAAAAAGTCTTTTTGTTTATTTCCAGCTCCGTTTCATTGTATATTATACTAATACAAAAGTGCCTCGTTTGATTTAATTTTGACGTGCTGCACTTAAGATTTATGATTTTTTTACTTTAATTACTGGAAAACATGTATTAACATTTTACTTTGCAGTATGCAATAAATATTTTGTGGTGAAAGGAAATTAACTGTTCAGATGAGTCAATGAAATAATAAAAAAAATGAATGGCATTATTAAACAATAGTTGTTAGAGGCAACCTAACGACAACAAAAAGTCACAAAAGTAACCAAAGAAACCGATCTCTACCTAAGTGAAGAAAACTCATATGATAACTTATTACTGATCTAAGCACTTGCTATAATTTAAACTGACCTTTCCCTGTAATGCCAGGTATGCATAATTGTGCTCAGGTGAGTTGTAAAATGGTATTTATAGCAAATCTAATAAGTTTGTTCAGGACGATATTAGCCTAATTACATATTTTTTCATATGTAATCTAGTTAAACCGTAATTACTTTTGTAATCAGATTACATTGAACAGATTATATATAATCAGTTACCTCCCAGCAGTGGCTCTGATGCAACTCAACATCTTCCTCTCCAACCCACTGCATGGCACAATGGCTGGCTCGCGCCCATCGAGTGGGTGTACTGGTGGGCATTTTGGAAGTGGCGCAATGTGAAGTGCGTGCACACATGGGAATTCAGATCTCACCGCAGTGAGTGGGGAAGATTTCAGCTTAGGAGCAGTCCTCACCTGCTGGAGCTTTACAGGTAACGTGAACAGAGGGTGTGTATCGAGGGGGCTGCTGGCAGCCCCTGCCGTGTGTGCTGGAATGTGCCAAGACTTGCTTTTTGGGGTGGGACAGCATGACCTCAGGCAATAGGATGGGTGGGTGCGACTTGCATAGAAAAGGAAAGGAGTAGTGAGGGATGAGGCGGGTGAGAACAGACAAGAGTTAACAACTCAGCTTTAAGCCCGGAGACAACCCACAAACGCCGGTTTGTAGCCAATGACAGCCAGAAAGAACGCAGTGGGCAGGCAGGGGTTAATAATTTGCGTTGTCTCCGGTTCAGTTTATGATTTGACAACTGTTTGCTTTTCAGTACTAAGAGATTTCCACCTTACTTTCATCTTGACAGGAGGAGGAGGGGGCTGAGGACGCCGAGGGATGCTGTGTCTTTAAGAGAGAGAGTGTGTGTGTGAGTGTGTGTGAGAGAAAGAGAGAGAAAAGGGAGGGACCTCTTTGCCCTCCAGAAACCAGGAAGGGAATTGAGTTGATCTGCCGCTGCTTGGTTAGCGCATACGGGGGCTTTAAGCTGCGCTACAGTGAGAGGGAGATAGAGAGCTCCGGAGAGGAGGAGAGGAGAGGGCCGAGCTAACCCACAACAAGCACCACCACGGCCATCACAGGTGAGCTGAAGGCGACCTGTCATCCCTTCCTCTGCCTGCCCTGGGCCTGTCGAACTCAGGGGGGTTGGTAGCAGGGAGAGGAGAGAGGAAGGACTGAGGGAGGGGGGCCAGAAAGGAGAGCAGGGTGGGGGGGTTGGCCGGAGAGAAGAGGTGGGTCGCAGCAGCGGTCCCTAGTCAAGGTTCCTCTTTTTTTTTTTTTTTTTTTAATTTCTCTTCAATATGTCCTATATAGAGCTACATGCCTCTGGGGGAATCTTGTGATAAAGTTTATAGGATGTGATCAAAACATTAACTTTTCAGGCAGGTGGAAGCACTTAGAGGAGGAGGAGGTAGCGGAGGAGGAGGGGGAGGAGGAGGAGGAGGGAGGTGACTGAGCCGAGAGAAGGAGGAAGCAAAAAAATAATAATAATAATGATACTGGAAAGGCTACAAGCAGTGGCAGCAACTTTTCGGGACATTACAGGGCGAGACACTCATTGCAGGGTGTGCTGTGTGTGCAGAGCATGACTGGGTGGCATTAGGTTGTTTAGAGGAGGGGTAAGTCAATTTAGGTCAGGAGTTTCAAGTGTGTCTGAACCGTCCCAAGAGCGCAGAGCTGATGAAAGAGCGCACGGCCGATGTTTCAGTGCTGCCCCTGACAGTCTGGGCTGAAATCTGTTTTGTTCTTTTTTTCCTCCCACAGCGCCCTATCCTTGTTTGATGGCTGCTCTGTACTTTAATACCTGGCAGGCTGCTAGCAGCATACTGTAGTGTATAATTCAGCCCTGGGTTGCTTACGTTAGAGAAGGCTTGGAGATAGTGGGGGTGGTGAGGGCAGAGAAGGAAGCTGGGACTCGTAGTCCGCAGCGGGGGCTGTGGAAACCAGGTGACATTGGGTTTCGGCCTCTATATCCCAGAGTGCCTTGCCCTCGGCCATGAAGGAAAGGGAACAGCCGTCAGCCTATCCCTGCGAGGAGGTGTGGCGAGTTAGCCGCTGCAAAGCCAATGAGGCGAGGGGATGCAGGAGCGGAGTTGTGGACTGAAAATAGAGGGTGGTGGTGGATGGGATGGGGGCGGGTAGGTGTCTGTGTGGGATCAGGCAAGGGCTTGCCTGTATGACTAGGGCCACTCACAAGTTTCCTGCCTGGTAATGCTCTAGCCCTGCCCAGAGACACAGGCAGCAGAACTGGCCGGCAAAGCAGGGGAAGGCAGAGAGGTCCCGAGAAACATTTTCTGCCTATTCGGTAAGCACTGCGAAGACATCCACACACATGGTGTCTTTGGGCTGGGATTTAGAGGAGAAGGAAAGCAAGCAAGGGAAAGTAAATACCAGAGTGTCTTGATAGAGTTCAGAGTTCTTGACCCACTTGAAGACAGAGAAGGGGTTGGCAAACGGGTCAGGTGCCACATGACTATCTGCTGAAGTTTGCTTTATTGCCTTCGGATGTTTTATCCTTACATGTGTTGCTTTGAATCTGTCAAGTTGTGGTTAATTAGGTAGAGTAGCTGCTAATATTAGCAGAGTGAGAAGATGAAGATATTTGCACATCCTGTACCGCTGCTGCTTCTTCTTCTTCTTCTTTGGGGGCTTTCAGAGTAATTCTACAGAAACCGCCCCGTCAGATACTTTGCTGAGCTGTGGCCGACAGCTTCTGTGGCACAGGTGTTGAGTAATAGTTTTAGAAACTTAACTAAGTGACATCTCGTCTTAATGAGGTGGAGAATAGGTGACACAGTTCGTGACAGCTGAATCCCCTCTCCCTGACGCGGCAGGCTGCCGTGGCTGAGTCTGTGCAATATTAAAACAAAACGTAAGCTCCGGCAACTTTGTGTAACCGTCCCCAAAGAGCTTAAGCGTTCGTAGATTGATTTCAGTCGTTCACAGCTACTCAATCTTATGACGTCCCTTCTCTCTTTACCGCTCAACTCCCCCATCCTCACCAGCATCTTGTTAAGACCAGATTGTAATCTGTCCTGCCGCCATGTAAGTCTTTCTTTTTTAAACCAGTGGTTTAAAAACTTCACAGCAGCCCCGACTGTCTTCCTCGATAACCAGATGCTTTTTTTTTTTTTCTTTTCGGCTTTGCATACTTGTTAAACCCGTTTTTACAAATGTACGGGCATGGAGAGGGTAAATGACGAGCACAGTACGCCCATTTTATGGGAAAGTCTTTCATAATGCTGCTGTAAATTAAGCTGATTGCTTCTTCTTGTTCAGCTTAAGGTAAAATAAAAAAATGTAAAAAACTTGATTAGTTATTGTAAACGCTGTCTTCCGTATGTTCTCTGCCCTATGGATGAAGAGCATGGTTATTTCTAGTGAATTCCAGCAAGAGGTTAAACTAGGACGCCATATGTGTTTGTATGTGTGAGCGCGCGTGCACGTGTGTGTGTGCATGCGCGTCTGTGTTACCAACAATAGACTCCAGAGGAATTGCAGGGGACTTCAGTGACTGTGGGCAGGTCCAAGACACCACCCATCAATTTGGCGGTGAGGCTGAATACAGTTTGATATTCCTGTATGTTTGTGCCTGCACCACGATGGCCCAAAACTAGCAGGTTCAGGCAGACCGAGAGGACAGGTTGTGTGATGTCTCCGTGGCAGTTTGAGGCTTTATTTCAGAGTAAAAAGTTGGCAGTATACAGTGGGATACATGTAGCTGTCATATTGTTTGTGTAAAGGTTTATCTATGTGTCAAAATGGCTCATACAGGAGATAGAGTTTTATAAGGAGTGTTTCCCGTGCCGCTTCTTCTTTTTTTTTCTCTCTTTTTTAAACATAAATGCATTTACAAAGGCTTACACATTTACAGTTGGAGTTGTTTCATTTGCCTCTTCCTTAGTGAATGCAGCTTCACTTCCCCCCCCTCCATGATGTTTGGTTCCCCTGGTCAGCTGCTTAATATACCACAGCTTCCAGCCTGGCTAGACAGACAGACCCCTCTCTGTTGTTTTTCTGTTGTTATGCTGAAGACCAGGGGCAGTAAAGGGGCTTCTTCTGTTCTCTTCTGGGACATTTATTGTGCAGAGTTTAACACACAACCTGATCAAATTAAGAGCAAGAGAGTGTGGCTCGGGATGTTTTTCAAGAAGAAGGGGAAGGCTTCACTTAAATTATCGCAGTGTTCGAGTTGAGCCTTCGTATTGATGAATTATAAAATACATCGAGTCGGAGGAGATGGACCTGTTTACAAAACTGACAGGAAAACCCCAAACGTTTATTGATAATGGATAACGGGCCAAGCGACCAGAGGGCTGTGTGACCGGTCCAACACCGTCTGCTTGCCGATGTAGTTACTTGGTTTACAGTGAAACAAGAGAAAGACGATGTGTTGGTTGCATTAAAGTATGGCGAGACGCAGGGAGGCGGGTGGGTCCGCACAGCTTTGCCTCCTCAGCAGTGGAAAGGGGAAGTGGGTGATGTGGTGGATACTATGCAGTGCACAGTCTGAGACAGAGATGGAGCAATGATGAGATGAGAGCAACAGATGAGAGGAGAAGAAGGAGGCGGGGCCAGGGTGGTTGTGGGGGGGTGGGGGCGAGGGGGGTCAGACAGTACGGACAGGGAGACAGAGCAAGAGGAGAGCTGGTCATCTGATAACAGAGCGGGTTCTGTTACACGCCTGCCACAGACTCACAGGAAGTCCTCTTTCCCTGTCAGGCTGAGCATGCGCAGCGCGGTGCAGCCACTGTTGGCTGCTTGACCAGTTAACCTGCTGGACATGAGCTTTCTGTGACACCACCAAGTTGTCAACTCGTTAACTTATTAAACAAGATGGTAAGAAAATGGGGAAAAACTGCAATATCTGATGACTTGTGTAATTGTAATGCAATTGTAATTGCATATTATGCATAATAGGTGCGAATACCATTTCATGACGTCTTAGCGTGTAAAGCTGTATGGAAAGCATGACATACTCCTTAATGATAGTAATAATTCTGAGTTTCTCAGATGAGGTAGCTTTCAAGGTTTATGGATGGATGTAGTTTACAACTCATTTTGCATCTTCATTTGATATAAATCCAGTTTAGTTGTTGATTAGGTGGAATCTGAGTACTGGCCAAGAGGGGCCAAGACCAAAGCGGACTTTGCGTTCCTACAACAACTTCAGTCTCAAAAAGCCCGAGTGGTTTGTTTAAATGCAGTTTTACGAACCTTTAAGATGTTGTAACGTTTGTGTTGAGTGGTTTTATACACAGAAGCTGATGATTATTTACACGGTGAATGGAGGTCGGAGGCAGAACACCACCCATAATCTTCCTGTGTAAAACATTTACTGAGCACGTTAGATGTAAAGTGTTTCCAGTCAGAGTAATTGTCTGATATAAAAGTGGTGTAAAATGCAAAAATGTTGTAACAGTTTTAACCCAATGCCTTTCCGTTGATTTGCACACTGCTTTACTTGTGTGCTCAACGTTTCACAAGAAACATCATCAGTGCTGCTGCACCACCACCTCCAGCTTCCATGTCCTCCTTAAATAATCATGTGCTTCTTTGTGAAAAAACTGTTGAATTCAAACAAGTTGCTTTGGTTCCTCTTGGGCTACAATAATTATTTATACTAAATAAAGAGGCCATTTAAATTATTTCCTACTGGTGAGATTTTAACAGCCTATTATGCCTCACCAGACCCTTGTATGAAAAAAACAAAAGTATATGTTAAAGTACCTTAAACTGAATTACTACGCCTTTGACTTTAAATGCAAAGGAAAATTGAGAGAGAGAGAAAAAAAACAGTCTTTTAGTTTTCTATGTTAAAATGTTTGTTGCTATAATAAGAGGGTTTGAAAGTCATTTTCAACTACCCTGCGTGACACCTGTGCAGTTGCCCAACCGCCCCCACTCCCCTGTCCTCGGGGTGGTTACCTTTTCTTTTACTGTAGCAGGTTATACCAGGTCCAACAGTAATTCATCCCGAGTTTATCATTGACATCTGAGCCAGATTCCTGGGCCTCCATTTGCTCTCAAGTTATGAGAGAGCTTGTGAGTTTAACGCCCTGTCTCGCCCACCAGCTTCGTG